ATAGTTACATTTTCATAATGAATAGAGGGATTTGTTCTAATAGTGTTTGTAAATAGGAAATCATGTCTGCATCTTGTACAGCAAATAACCACTAGGAAAAGAGTATGCAATGTGTTAATTATTGAAACTGTCCTACCAATTTGATTTGAAACTGTCTCATTGCTATTTCTCAATAAAATTATGGGGGAAAAAAAATCAGCACTCTAAGAAAATGCATGTATCTATCCAGTGAGTTGAATTCCCTATTTTGCATCCATCCCTGGACAACAGCCCACACAGGTTGGAGGAGAGCTGCTCTATCACACTCAGAAACGCCTCTGATCTTTAACTCCCAGATTCACACATCTGCCCTGCAAAAGTAACTCTGCTAAAAAGCAGCTGCAGGGCCCAAGTTCACCACGGCCACTCACCTCTTGGAAGACTCGCCGCGGCCTCCTTCATACTCTTTCATGGCTTTCTCGTACTCCCTCCTGGCGTCCTCAGCCTTGCGGTCCCACTCCTGCGGTCCGGACACACAGAGTCAGTGTGGTGCAGGAGAAGCCCCGGCCGCAAGGGCCTGCAGCCAGCGCCTGCAACCCCGCACCTCCTTCTTCTCCTTGGACATCCCCTTCCAGATCTCGCCAGCCTTCTTGGAGAGGTCCGTGATGCTGATGCCGGGGTGGTCTGACTTGATCTTCTCCCGGCTGGCGTTGAGCCACAGCATGTATGCAGACATTGGCCTCTTGGGAGCGTTGGGGTCTTTGCCCTTCTTTGCCTAGGTGGGAACCCAGATAATGTGAGCCCTCTACTGCCCAGGCACCCCACATGTCCTCAAAGGGGTTACCTGGAACAACTCTGGGGGTAACTGGGTCACCAGGGTGACAACTTTGTCAGTGGTGAGGTCACCGTGCAATGGCATTGCTGGGTGGCTGCAGAAGAGAGGGGGCTAATGCAAGAACGTGGGCTGTGCGACCCATGTCAGCACTGAGCCTAGCCCGCGGCTGCCTCCTCTCTGGCTCTTTCTCACTCTCCCTGCTTCCTGTCTGCTGAGGGGTGAGCAGCTTCCCGGCTGGCCCCCACCTCGTCACAGGGATGGGGCCACAGAGCCAGCCACCACACACAGAAACTAAGCCAAGATCCTTCCTCCAAGGACTTCTCAGTCATTCTGTCAAAATGACTTCAAGCAGTGTCTTCTACCTGCAGCTCGGGAGGGTCCCCAGGACAGATCGGTCACCTGTCTCCTTAGTCAGATCTCCCAGAAGAGAATGAGCTCAAAAATCCTCCAAGATCCTTCTATGGCCAGAATCCCCAGGTATGCAACACAACCCCAGGAGGTCCTGCCAGTGGCACACAGGTCAAGGGAACAGATCAAACACACACACACACACACACTTTCACACTCCCCTCTAGAAGAGACTCTGCACCTCCGCAGTCTTCTTGCGGCTCTTGCGATCCTTGGCTGTCTTGGCCCTTTTGAGCTGTTTCCTTTTCTTCTCTTCCCGGTCGCTGTCACCCTCATTGCTGGACGAGCTGGCCGAGGCGTTGCTGTCAAACCTGCCAAGGGGTAGAGTTTGACTCAGGGACCAAGGACAGCCCCTGGTCCTCAGTGCCTCCCTGCCAGCCTCAGCCAACACGCCACATGGGTCCCCTGGGAATCAAGTAGGGGCCGAGGCGACTCCTTCACCAGGGTGGACCCTGGTGCTGCTCCGTTCCCACCAAGCACAGAAACAGCATCTCGTGCGAGCTGAGACATGCCGCCGCGTCACATGCCTAAGCCCATCAGTCAGCTTCCTTTAACCCTGTCCTTGCTGAGAACAAGAGCTGGCACCAAGAGGAGTGTCCCCGAGGCCTGGAACTGCTTCTCGGCACTTCTCCCACAGTTCTGCCCACACACTGCGACTGCTCAGAAGTTGGACCCACAGGTCCCAAACCACGCCAACACCAGCACCAGAAACAGCTGTGAGCAGCTGGGGTGAGGGGCCCCCAGGCACCTTCTGGGTGGGCTGTGCTCCAAGGGATCATTTCCAGTCCTGGACGGAGCTTGACACTGCCCTGCTAACCCCAAGCACAGCAGGGGGCGCACAGTGCTGGGATGGTGACCTTCCTGCCCAGCCTGCCCAGGGGGCCTCCACACTCACTCCTCAGCCACGTCTTCCTCCTCCTCCCCGGGGTTGAA